TTTCCATGTGACTGTGCTGGTTAGGATGGGCTCATTTTTTTGCATCTTTCTAGGACCAAAGCAGAGGCGCTATGTTTGGTGAGGAAATTACAGTTGAAATTGACTTTTGCAGTCAGAGGAAACTTGAAAAATGTCAGTATCAAAGGACTGATAAGAGAAAGGTCAGCTAGAAAGTAAATTACAACTTTGAATAATTGCTGGTTTAAAACACAGAATAGTTATCATTCATTACAATTGCCAGTTATTTTCAGCTATGAGCCACAATTACTTGAATAAATTAATGTAGTACTCTTTATAAATTCTTTCTGTAAACAGCCTTAAAGTTTTGGATCCTCATTGCAATCTTCTTAAATACAAGCAGAGTGAAGTTAATATTCCTATGCTACATACAGCTTTATCTTTTGGTTCATATACTAATAAGACTGAAGATTACTACTTCTGAAATGCAGTTGTAAAGATCAAAATTGAATATAAGGGTAGTAAACCAATTTCAAAACCATCTGATGGACCTACAATAGCCAGAGAAAAAAGGGATTTGAAGGTTATAAAACAGATAGTATAATATACTCTCTCTTAAACTATCTTTGCTCACACATGTACTGTTTTCTTCCTGCCTGCCTCCCACCCTCCAAAAGTCCTGTATCCCTTGTATATTGGCTGAACCACTTAGAGTATCTTCTGAAGTTGAGGTCTTTTTTCACTCCATTCAAACATCTGTCTGAGTTTGAGACTACACCGAGGTTTATTTCTTTCAGGACTTAAGTCAACTCTAAGGCACAAGAGGAGAACTTGGACTAAATAATATACAATTTAAAAGAGCTTTAGTTGAAATAATTTCTTGAAAAATATTTGAGACTTAGGTTCTTGGTAGAAAGATAAAATGAGATCTAATATACATAAGACTGGAATTTAACGAGTGACAAATCTAAACCTATTCCTATCAAATTAATTCTTTGCACGAATACACTTCATTCTTGAGAGCTAGTCTGGGAAAACATTTTATGGTTTCATTTTTATTCATTTGTCACTCATGAAAAAGAACTCATGACACACTTTACAAAGTTTGAGTTCATCTTTTTGAAAAGCAGGTTGTACAAAACAGGACTTTTTTCTTCTTGTCCTTCAGCTCCAAGAAACAGCAGCTCAAATTTAGAAGAGAGAAAGAATACATTTTGAGGTTAAATACCTCTTTTGTGGTGTAGGCCTGTTAACAAGTAGGAAGTGTCACTTTTAAATACTCTGGAGATTTGCAAATACTGTTTCCTTCTAGCTACTGAAATGAATGTTCTATATTTCAGATGACTTAGAAAAATCTTGTTGTTGGCAGACATTAAAGAAGTACTTAATGCAACAGTGTTTCTAAGAAATATATAAAGGAAAGCTGAAGTTGTAATTTATAACGAAGTCTGTATTCTAGACCTCAAAAATAATTCAGAAAGAAGCGTGTGCTCTGATTCAGAGTATGGATATGCAACTCTTAAGGATTCAGAGATTAATGGTAAATAAAAGGACCAGTTAACTTAATACCACCTTTTCCAGTGTTTTATTAATAATAATCCTGCTACAAACATGCATTATAACTCATAATGATGCTCACCAGATGTCTTTTTGCTGGTCAGAAAAGTAAATGCTCTTTTTTTTTTAAATAAAAGCAACATGTAAAATAAAACAGACACAAAAAGCACAGAAGAAAAATTGCATAGTAGGGGTGGGGGAGAAAGCAATTAACTTGAAAAATGTAGAACTGAAAATTAGAACATAGTTTGGCTATGTTTTCGACTTGGTAACTGTAATTAAAGAGTACTGCTTGTCTTATTGAAGCAATAAAACAAAATATTGTCTGCTTAGCAAATGACCTTTAACTTGCAAAAATATGCAGTTCTGAATGCAAACGAAATAATAGCTTGGAAGAAATTAAATTTATTTCCAGTTTCTACATTTTGTAGAAATGAATGCACCCTTCTGCATTCATGAGTCTTTGAACCACTTTGAAGTACATTGACAAGACATTTGTTAAGAATACTCACTGCATTGTCTTGTACACGATGTGTTGTAACATAAAAGCTACAATTCAACAGCTGACCTTTCAGGGTAAGGTCAGGACAGGCTGTAGATTTCCTGATTTGTGTGGATTCACTGGTTTTTACTTACCTATAGACAAGGTATTAAGGAACTCCTAACACACATTTCTGCTCTGCAGTTGAAGAAGCAGCTGTAGGATCTCAAGCTGCACTGGCCTTGGTTTATAGTATTGCTTCTTTTTAAGCCAAGTTTGGCAAAAATAGTGATATGATTAGTAATACTTCCATAGCATTTATTAAAAATGCGAGGAAGGATATTTTTCTGCACATTCTAAACTGACACATCAGGATCTACTTTAGAGCTAATATAAGACAAACACTTTCAAGAACCTAGTGCAATTGTTGTGTGTGGATTTAACTCCAGACCTTTAGGCAAGGAGCTTGATTGTGATAGTAATGAGGCCTGGCTTCAGGTAATATAGGAGAATGTCATGATCATGCTGAAACATACGCATTTGATGTAGATGAGTTTTTCCACTCAGAAAGACTGGACAGAACAAAGCAAAACTTTGTTTTTAAGCCTTGTTTTTTGCTTTCCCAGGCTGTTACATCCCAGAGATCTTTAACACTCATGAATTTACAGAGATCCTACAATGTATATTAAGACAGTATGAGGCATATACTCATAATAATGTGGCCTCACATCTGATTTTAATCATCTGACCGAACCTGTGCAGGGATGAGCAGTCCTTTTACTGCAAATACCCTTATTCAATGTGTTACTAGATGTCTTTTTTTGAGTGCTTATTGTCAAATTTTGATTGTATGTAACTTAATGCTAATATATTCATGTTATGATAGGTATATTTGACATATATTGTTGCATTGTCATTATTTTTGCTCAAATTCTTTGCATATAAAACTGCAGTGTAGAACTGAGTTGGAACTTTCAAGAGCAATTACATGTGACTGCTTGTTTGGAGTTGGAAGTAAAGCAGTAGAAATTCTTTTGGCTAAGAATAGAACCAAATTTGAGCAAGATAAGTGCACATTCTTTTTAGCTATCAGGCTAGCCGTAGAGTGAGACATCATCAGTAAGTATTGCTGACAACAAGTTAGAATTTGGAAACTTGTATTTCCAAAAATGCTGCATATAATTTCGTTCAAATATTTCAATGCAAAAATTTCGTCTTTTTTTCTTTTGAAGTTTTATTTTGTTTTATTGTTATTTGGGTTTATATTTTCACATTGTATACATGGTCAGTTTGAAGTATTGTAGAGCTTACATAGTGTTGTCTGAGGGCATGTTTATCATTAATCTTAAAAACTATTGAATATGCTTCATTTTGTTACTTCTGAAGACTACAGTATCAGGATTTTGTTTTTTAAATGTACACAACAACGAAATTGCCACGTGTATGTTGAAATGACTACTGCTTGTTATCTTTAATCTATATTGTCAATGATATCTAAATTGTGTTCTATTTATGCAAAGAGTGTTCATATAATGAATAGCCATGGTGCACATTATTAGTGTACATTCTGTTAGTCTAATAGTCTACAAAGGTATTTCCAGCTCTTTTCTTAAATGTGAGAGATTACTTGGTTATTCAATAGAGAACTGTTCTGTACTGATGACAGAGGTCAGATAGCATTACATCAGATTTCTCTCTTCTGCTCTTTGATTTATTACAGGGTAAAATGAGTTGCCCTGAAATATTTTTTTTTTGTCTGTGCTCCCAATTAGAAATATTTTTGTACTCCTACCTCAGTGCATTACTCAAAAGAAACTGAATTTTAGTGGAGACTTTGGAAGTTTAATACTTGTGGTTGTGGCAATATCTTGGGGTCCATTTCATATGAAGCAGTAGCTATATGAAGAAGTAATTTAAATTAATATACTGATTTTAAAAATTAGAAGAAGTTTTTTTGAAATCATTGTATAAAATTCAGTCAGTCTCCTTTTTTCTACAAAATCAAAATGTTTGTCTATATACATATATCTATATATATCTCTCTATATATATCTTTGTGCATGTTTATATAGCTACAAGTAATTCTTAGCTAAGGTGATCAAAACATCTTCTTACATATGTTTTTTGATGACCATGTTCTATGTAGTTATGTATTTCTCTGATACTGCTAAAATTGATGTTCTGTCCTTCCTTTGTGCATACTGGAGGCTTTCATGGTCAGTGGTGATGAACTTTCTCTTCTTCTGACCTCTGTAATAATAATTCTTCCCAAGCTTATTTGAAGTCCAAATGGGACAAACGTTCCTGCTTCTCACATAAACTACAGGGAGTGTTGCAGGAGAAGGAAGGAGTGCAGTTTATGATATCTCAGAATTGCTGGTTTGAAGATTGCTGTATTCTTTGAGTATTCCTTGTTTGTGATATTATTTGGACAACTTTTATTCACTAGAAAATACTGAAGAGTGAAAGAATGTTTTTTTTAACATTCACATAAAATACTGAAGTTGTGCCAAAGCCCCAAAATAATACAGTATCAAAATAAAACCAAAATCATTAAAATGATATTTCTTGTTTCTGAAGCATTCCAGCCAGTTTCTTCCTTTCTCTTGGAAGAAACTGGAATTTTAAATTACAGGTTTTTGTTTGTTGTGGATAAGCTTCTGTTTCCTTTCCATCTGATGAAAACTAAGTAGACCAGTACTGTCCTTATTTCTGTAGCATCTCAGGCTGGAAATCCTTTGCATTTTGCTTTTACTAAAAAAAGCTTGCATTCCTGTTTTCTGCTTTGACATAAAACATGGTTGAAGGGTTTTCCTTCCTTCCATGTCCTCAAAGTTTAGTATTACCAGTATATGTGTTAATTAGTACAGACTTTTCCCCAGGTGATATTATACTTATGAAGTAGTTTGCACCTTTTAATGAAACATTTTCTAATTCAGGGTTTTTTTTCAAAGGGTGGGGTTTTTTAAGATTTTTTGTTTACTTGTTTCTTTTATGTCTCTAGCCAACAAGGACGCTAGTTATGACAAGTATGTCTTCTGAGTAAGTATTAACCATTTTGACTCTTTATTCAGCCTACCATTTGCATTTGAATATTGATAAATTATAGAAAATTAAATTTCTCTTTGGGCTCTGCATTTTATTTCATTATGTATTCTTGCTAGAAACTTGTTCATAGATGTATTTTTTTGTTGCTGTGGTAGAGACTGAAGTAGTTCCATAGGTGAGTTCAACAGGGCTTCAGAGCAATAAAACTAAAGTCTTAAGCAAGTTTTGAATTTATCTGAAGGCAATGTACATAGTAGTTGTATGTAGTAAATGATTCAGCCCAACACAGGGTTTTCTCCATACATTTTAATTATTTCTATATAAAAATTCATAATTTGAAACATCAGTTTAAAATGTTTTATTTCATACAAATAGTTACAGAATAAATATGAGTTGTAGGCTTTCAAGTGACTTAGTTTCAAAACATTAGAAGCAGCTGCCACTGCATATTTTGGGGGAGAGTTAATAATTTTCTGGCATGCTCTTATCATTCTCTTAAAAGTCTTAAAGCACAAGGAACATCCAACAAAAATACGATTCTATATTTTATACTATACTTGCTTACAGTTTTTGAATTCTTTTTCAAAACTCAAGATATTTATACTACCAAAAAATCTCTTTCAGGTTTGCTGTAACTTAATGTTGACAGTTACATAGAAATAAATACTCAGAAACAGCGCTTAGTGGCTATGCTTTCAGAAGTTTTTTGTAGAAGGTTATCAATAGTTATTAACAAGTGTACTTATATATGTCAGAAACATAAAATATAATTAATATTTTTCTTCTGTTTGATGTGACTGGATGCTGGTAACACCAGGACTATAAAGTGAACCTCACAAGTCATGCAATGCAGAATCACTGTAGAGGAGGTAAAGATCATCACTACAGTGCAGATAATAGGGGAAAACAGAGGCTGTGGTCTGCCTGAAAGAGAACAAATCCTGGCTGAGCTGGGGAATTTATTTTTTTTAAACAGGTCATTAATATATTATTTCTTTTATGTTCTTATATATTGACTTTTCCCACTAGCCAATTACTATTTCATTAAATTAAATTTTCTGGGGATAACAATTGCTTTTCCTCAGAACCTTTTCATTAAGACTGCTTTTGATAGACTGCAACGGTAGGCGTTTATCAGCTTGTAAATGGGTGAAGGGAAAAGGACTACTTCTGAAACAACTTAGGAACAGAAAACAGTCCTCCAAAACACAACCCTGTGGTCAAAAGCCAATCCTAGTACCCAGTAGCTACAGCCTCAAAAGTGGTTCATTAGAATTTACATTTTAAGATTCAGGAGTTCAATGGTTTCATGGCAATGGGTTTTGGGATTATAATAAATACTGCTCACTGATTCACAGCCACACAGCTATCTAATTTTCTGATTTAAAAATTCAGTGAAATTTTGCTGTAAATTTTCATCCACCAGGTTTTGCATCTGTCTCAAGTATGAACTGGTGAGTTTTCTCTGCAGTTTGTAGGATGTCTTTGATTAAAGACTTGTACAACAGAAATTTTTCTTCTCCCTGTAAGGAATTTTGTGTGGACACAGGAAGAACTTAGAAAAGGTTCAGGTAAAGCATGGAACATGCAGTCTGGGCAGGGACAGCCCCTTTGGGTTGTAATGTTGCGAAAACATTCACTTTTAGGCTATATCAAGCTAAAGCTCACAAAATGAAAAGGGAATACTAAGAATTCTAGTTACAATCAAAGCTACCAAGGCCAGAATTCATACCAGAGAGAAGGCTAGGCTAGTCACAGGATTTTTTTTAAAGTATCTCAAAATACAATATCACCTTTTGATTTAATTGTGACATTAATTTGCTGCACTGTTTTGACTGTTCTTTTTTTTTTTTGTTTGTTTGTTTTAATCTTCTTGAAAAATGATTGCCCCAATTTTTGTGAAGAGTTCTTTTGCAGTTTTGTTGGGATTCTGCTGAGTAGTTTCGTTTTAGCTGGGATATTTTGGGAGTTCTAACAGACTTCCTTTCTGTGGAGTTAAATGTAGTGGGAATGAAGCAACCCCAGAGGCTTCTGGAGATGCTCTGAGTGTACTTGGATTGTGTCTGTGATTACCTCAGAAGTTTTGCCCTAAAGGATCACCCCTGTGATAGTGTGACTGTGTTCAAGGTTGTGACTAATTGATTTCTCTTGTGTTGCATGGACATTTCCAAGTTAGTATGGGGAGTAGAGAGGTCACCAGAATTTTGCTTTATTTTATAGATCTTTAAGGATCATTTATAATTGTAAAAATGAACATTAATAAAAGCAGTAAATTGTTATCATGCAACAGCTTTTCTCTTGTGATACCAAGGTCTTCCTGTTTTCGTAATTATAGATTTATGTGCTCCTGCATAGCTATGTAGAGAGCTCAAATTAGAATTCCAGTTTTAGATGGCCATTCTAGAATTTAGATCTAACTTTATGTATTGCATTATAATTGTATTTAAGGATAAGTGAATTTTTAACTGAAACATTGGCATAGATGTGTAGGTTGCAAGCCAGATAGAACTTTGGGACTTTTCTAAATTTAGACACAGCATTATTCACATGCTGAAAATCTGGAGTTTCTTAATGAAAAGCTGTTAAATGTGCTGTGTCTAAATGTTTACATTTCTTGGTAATATTTTTTATAGTACTATGAAAGAAACCAAGAATTAGGCTCTGTTGTGTTGGGCATTGTACACAAACAACATAATAGATAATTCTGCACTCAAAAACTTTTGTTTAAACAGACAAGATAGATGTAGGGGGCTAAAGGACTTTGATGTGCAAGTGGATGTGATTGTGTGATAATGGAAAAGGGTCTGTTAGGACTCTGGAGAGGCTAATGAATTTAGGGCTAGCAAGTGGGTAAAGGCTTAGTGAGAAAAGGATAAAAAATGTTTAATGGGGAAAGAAATGAAATTAATTTGAATTAATTTGTGATGTATGTACATGCTTTTATAATTCTGCCTCCCTCCATTCAATGTTGCATGGGCTTTTTTACCTTTTCTTCTTTTTTAGGAAGCAAAATACAGTAATTCAGGTCGTGAAGAAACTTGGAGACTTTTTGGTCTCAAATGAAGTGTGTGAAACAACAAGTCATGTAGTTACTGGGAGTCCTCGTCGTACCTTGAATGTTATGCTGGGAATTGCTCGTGGGTGTTGGATTGTTTCTTATGAATGGGTAAGAAATGCTTTTTAACTTTACTACACAATAAATTAAATTTTGTTTGTATAGCTGAAATATCAACCATGTTTGTGTCCATGTTGCCTGCAATGATGCCTATGTTAAGTTATTCAGGCTTACTTAGAGCTGGTTCAATTAGATGAAATTTGTCTGTGTGAAGATCTGTTAGTTAGTTACAGTTTTTCAGTGCTTAATTTAACCAAAGTATTCCTGTATTGTACCTCATTATCTATTTTAGAAAGAGGACTTATCTCATAGATGAGAAACTCATGTCCCATGCATTATTTTTGGACAGATTAATTTCTGCTTAACATTAGCCAACTCACATTATTCAGATTGAGCTTTTTATGGCCTGATATAATATATTTCTTTTATGTTCTGAAATATGTATTGTGTTCAGCATTGGAAAAAATGAAGGGAAATTCTTAGATATTTCACTGCAAATGGGAAAAAAATGTAAAATAAGAACAGTGACTGGGTGGGGAACTTATCTGTCAGCCCAGGCTTAAACCATCTCAATTGCTCACTGTAATAATAGAGATTAACCACTCAATTTGACATTGCAGATGACAGTTTCTCAGCTTTCCTCATGTATCCAGAGCTATAAAATATAGATGGTGAAATTTATATGGAAATTGGTCTTAATCTTATACAGAAAATGGTTGTTGAATAAATAAATTTTGTGGTTTCCTCTTTCTTATAAGTACTTTAAAATTTACTTGTTGGGTGGGAAATAAACTGCTGCCTTTTTGTTTTCAAGATGTCTGGCACTTACCAGTATGAAGCTTGTCCTATATGATATATATGCAGTTATCTGAAGTTGTTGTGGTATATATCACATTTTTTAGAAGTTCTTGGTGATTCATTTCCCTTGGAATAGAGGGTTTACATCTTTGGCCACCTTAAGGATCCTGTAATGTGCCTTTGTGGCAAAAGAAGACTAATAGCATCTTTGGCTGCATTAAGAGGAATATATTTAAGAAGGAGCTTTGGAGAAGAACATCTCCACAGATTCATTCCAGCTTACTATATGATTCCTTGCATCTATTAATTAAATACACTGAATTATCTGTCCCATACTTAGCTTTGTATGGAGCATTAAACAAGTCACAACATAATTGTCACGAGTTACTTTTTCATAACAGGGTGCACAAACAAAAGCTGCCTTTTTCCTTGAGAAAAAGCTTCAAATAGCTACTAAGATAGCTAGAGATAAGTACTACAAAATAGTTTCCTGTCTTTGTACATAAAGCAGTATGGATAATCAGTATTCCAACAAGTGCTGTCCTAGAATTTCATTGCCCATTTTATGCCCTGTGCTTCTGTGAACAAATGCGTGGTGAAAATATCTACCTATGCTCTTCATATAGCAGTATTGATTGGAAGTGTTGTCCTCCTGTCTTGTGGTCTCCCTTACAGATTCATCATGGGATTGTCTATATCCCTCATTTAATACCAGTAAGTTGAATGCAACTGTTCCAAGGATTAGTTTGTCCCTGTAGATATTATTTGATCAAATGCTGATGCTGTTTTCACTCATTTTATTGAGCTGCTGTTTAGAAAGTTCTTAAGTTACTAGGAGAGATGCATGAGAAATAACTAGAGACAAACTTTAGATATCCAGATCAAAAGTTTGTTTGATCTTATAGTATCTGCTTATCTGGAAGATTGCTATTTTAAATATTTTTAGAACTGTGGTTATCTTTTTTCACAGAGACTAGGTCCAACTTTGCCCATAAATGTGTATTCAATTTATTTTTTTATTTACTTACTTAACTGAGATAAAACAGAAATATTTTTAAAAGAATGTTTCTTCACCTGTTTAAATCATTGAATCATATGATTTAAGTGCTTCATTGTCATTGTGTCAATGGCCATTTCGCCATAAGATGGCCAAATACTTTTGCCATCTTTTTACCCAAATTGGTTGACTAGAGAAGAGACAACTGAAGCCTTACCTAGCCAGAATTGAGGAATTCAATAGAAAATTAGTCAGGAAAATTTCATCTAAGAAAATAATCTTCTCCTTTTATTGGTGCAACAGAACTGATGCCTTTAAATGTAATCAATTCTACCATTAGTATTTTCACTGATAAAGTAGTTCACATTGGATAATGAAAAAAATCAATCAATCAATCTGGAAAAATTAGTAATCCCTTATAAACATAGATTTACTTTTGAGCAGTAATGATTGTCTTTTGGAGATGTTTATCAGTGTTTGAAGAATATATTTACCTCTGCCTTTTGACTTGTAATGTGGACATAATTTAGGATGAAGTGGTTCTTTTCTTCTGAGAAAAATTTAAAATATTATTTTTAGATGGATGTTGGAGAAATACCAAATTTACCATCAGACATTTAAACTTCATAGCACTCCATTTACATTTTCATGAATTATTTATGTACCAATACCATACGATCATTCATTGTGCTAGCTGGATAGGTAAGAAACCTTAAATAATTAACCAAATAGTGTGTTTTCAGACTCTTTGAGCTAATTCTTTTTTAACTGCACATTTGAAAACTTCTAGATAGCTCTTTTTTCTCAATAGAAACACACATTCTGAAGTATTTCAGCTAAGAATAATATTGCAAATAATAACATACTTTTGAATTACATTAATCTGAAGCTTTTTTTGGTATTGCTATGAAAATATAACTGGTTGAAAATTTGCCAAAGTCAGAAACAAACTTTCAGTGACTTGGAATGGAAAGCTCTTTTCTTTGTTTTATGAAAACTGAATGTTTTAGTGAGTGGTGATCTAATTATTTACTGCAGGACCTGTTCATGAACTCAGTATCCAATTTTCTTTTTATCTAGGAGAGTAGATACAATGCTTTTGTACTCAATTCCAGAACCATGATAGACAAGCATTAATCTTTTGTTAAGACAAACAAATTTCATTTCTAAACAAAATTCTGTAAATACTACAAGGGTTGATAGAGGTCATTGCTGTCGAATTGGCCTGGAAAATGAAATAGGATTACTTAATCATAACTAATCTTTTGGGTTTATATTTTAATCTGTTTAGGTTGTTTTCCAGCTACTTTTGATGCAAACATAATTTTGGTACTATAAGGATGTGATGTATATGTAATACAGCACAATACATCTGTTCCTGCTCAAGTTTATTTATGAAGAATTTTTTTTAATGTAGTCTGTATATGAATTTTATCCAAACTTACAATTTTCTTGCTTCATTTAAAGTTGATTTATATTGTGATAAAAAGAGAAATTACATTAACAAGTTTCCTTTATGGTCAATAAATAGATATTTATCTGTTAGCTATAAGTATAAAGTGAAGAGGCTTTAATATTCTTATTGTAAATTGTTAAAAGTAATTATAAAAAATAGGTACCAACCTAAAATTTATAATTTACAATCCTAAGTTGCAGTCTTAACTGTATTTTTTTAACAAGTTACAATACTTTTCTTAGCTGGACATTACAATGGATTATTAGGTTTTGAATATTATTTAAATGTCATTGATTTATTAATGTACTTAACTCTTGTTTTTATGTGTGGTATGATATAATGACTGTAGAAATTATTTTCTCTTTTTGCACAGCTGTTGCATTTTCAAATATTTGATTGTGCTTTTTCTAAAAGTAAACATAGTGTTCTTTGGATATTTTGTAATCAAGTTTAGCAGTAAGTCTAAGGATATGCTGCTTTTTATTGTCAGCAAAAAAATCACTCTTCATTTCCAATAGTCTGCAAAACTGGACACCTCTCTTCATAAGTCAAACATCACTTTTCACATCAAACAAGGCAACTGCTTTTGTAGAAGTTCACATTTGAGGTTGTTGGTTTCCCGGGAAGTCATCAGGCATAAGATACTTTGAACTGAAAACTGTAGAACTTATTTAGAAAATAATTTTGTTATGAAAACTGAATTTGCAATCTGCTTGTAGCAACAGATTTGGGGCAAAAGTGCCCTTTACAGAAGCTTTTTTTTCTTACAAGCAATTGGGCCATTTTATAACGTTTACATTGCTAGTTTGTGATCAATTTGTTCAGCTTAGAATCTTCCATAAGTGAGCTGTAACATTGTAAAGGATAACTTTACCATGCTCAGTATATATAGTGCCAGTTTTTATCTGTGGGGAATATTTCATAGAGTCGTTCACAAATTTTAAAAGAGAACATTTTATAATTTAAATTTAAACTAATAATATGTGCATTTGTATGGCAGAGTATTTCAGACATTGTGAATCAAGCATGGGAATAATTTCAGACCCTGACGAAATTCAGCTTGTTCTAAAATGAATAATGACAACTATTTAATAGTGTATGGCTGTGCTAATGACTTAATCTATTTGAAATGGCTAGAGAGCTATTTAGGGAAGGTATGAGAGAGGCTGAATTATCCTAAAACAGGGATTTGCTTTCTGATAAATTCCATATATCCCATTTAGGGGGTATATGTCTGCTTCTTGTTCAGTTAGCTTCATTTGCTCTAGGAGCAACAGGACGTCTCACTGGTTGGTATCATTGCTTTTTTTGAACTTAAGGGGTACCAGATGGCAACTACAGAAGAGACATTGTGAAGCTCAAATACCTTAAATGAGATAAGTTGTTGAATTGAGTGACAGTGGACAAACTGGCAAGGAAGATACCAGTGTTTTACCTCTGTGAGAAGCTTCATGGCTCACCACTTATAAAACCAAATAAAAAAAAAGAATCTCATCTTCCATCAGAATGGTCTTCAGAATTTAGGCTGTCTACAAATTAGGAGTAAAATGTCCTTTATTATGACTCAGGGACAGAGCCAATGTAGGAACTTTCTCTTTTTCCATTTTCCCATTAAGACAGTGCTTTTACCAGTTGAGGAATAGTTATTTGAATACGCTCCCATGGAGCTTTTAATATTATAGTCTACCAACTTCAAGTTATGATAAATTGTTCTGAAGAATGTTTAGAAAATCAATCCATAAAAATGCTGGATGGAGTAGTTCGGGGAAAGTTTTACCCAGAAAAAATTTAAAATATCAGAAATTGGAAATTGGAAATACAACCATTTTAAGTAGGTTTTTTCTGTTAAACATTTGGTGGTGGTCCTGATGGGAACAGAAGTCTGCAAGTGGCACACAGTTTTAAGATTACTATTCTCTAAAGATCATACTGGTCCGGTGTTTCAGAGCTCAGTTGCACACAAATGATTATGTGTTTTCTGCAGAGTCAGTGTTGTGCAGTCTTCTTTTGTGCACTAGAGTACAACACTGACAAAGGAGGTTACCACAGAGCAAGAAATTGATTTATTCTTCTTTGCAGGATGATTTATATATGTAATGTGGATTCTATGCAATAGTTGCATAATCCTTTTAGTAGTAGGGGTCCCGTGTTGTTTGACATCTTCATTTATGAGCTGGATGATGGGGAAGAATGCACCCTCAGCAAGTTTGCAGATGTTAGAAAACTGTGAGGAGTGTTTGATACACCAGATGGGTGTTCCTGTTCAGATGGACTTTGACAAGCTAGAGAAATGACACAACAGGAACCTCGTGAAATTCAATGATTACTGAACTGAGAGAGCAGAACTGGTATATTATGACTTCCCTTTTCAAATTTTTTGCTCTATGTATTGTGATTAAAAAATAGTTGAGTTTTTGAATATCCTCACAGTGTTTTAAAATTTAATATAGCTGTGCATAGAAGTATGACTGATATTTCAATGGTTTATTTTAGTTGTAAAAATTGTATCTTCCTTATTTATTGTTTTTTCAGCAAATTATTTGGTTTGGGTAAATGAAATAGCAAACCAGCTATTGTAACTTCTAATTACACGTTCAAAAAGTTTATTTTAGAAATTTTAAGATTCTACTTACCACTTACTTTATTTTAGGTTCTGTGGTCTTTGGAATTAGGCCATTGGATCTCAGAGGAACCATATGAGCTTTCATCCAGCTTCCCTGCAGCTCCTGTAAGTTTAGTGGTCCTTTAAGCTTGTGAACCATCTTTTGTTTATCTGGGAAATTATTTGCCCTATAAATAGGTTTTGAATAAAGAAGCCTACTAGAATTTTTTTTTTTTTAAAGCAGATACTGTAAGGAATTATTTGCTTCTTCATCCAATACTTTTTAAAGTGTGTGCAAAAACTTCGGTACGTGTGGAAAATACAAAATGTTGATACACCAATTAACACCTGAATAAACCAGCATCTTACTGAAGTATAAATGTACTTTAATTTTATTTCTATTTTTACCTGTGTACAAATTGGAGAGGCATGTTACTGCCAAATGGAAAGATTTGCAGGTCAAGGACTCAGTTTTTTTGGCCCAGAAATTACTTGGGCAATGGAAAATTACTGTGGTCTTCTAGAACTGCTAAGTAGGAAAAAATGAAGCATTTTTCCTGCCTCTGATAATCATTCTCAAGTACTGAATTAGGAACTAGTGCACAATTGGGTATGTGGGGGGATGATGTACCTGTGTAGACCTCGGTACACTTCATCTGTTGTAATTGATTAAACAGGAATTTTATTTTGGTTTTAAAACAAGTAGAATTCTAGCTGGTTAATAGTCAATCATTCCAATAATTTTCCCTCTACTAAATTAATGTCTGCAATTTATTTCTCAAAGTTTCTTACCAGCTTTGAAGAAAGTACAGTTAATGGGGTATGAAATTTATTTTTACTATAATTTTATTAACTGTTAAGAACTTCTATTTAGCATTCTTTCTAAATCTATAACTTATGTAAATTTACATCTCCATCATTAATATGTATTATTTGTTTCATGATTGTAAGGTGTATGTTCTCAAAGTTTAGGGGTACTGTAGCAGTTAATCTCAAATAACTGCTTAACCCTTAAAGAAATTAATTATCCATGAAATTTCATACTTTTTCTAAAATGTGAAAGTAGATTGTTTTATATAGCAAATACAGTAAGAATGGTAAAACTTAATGTGAAAAATAAATAAGAAGCATGTTCTTTTTTCCACTTTTCTGTATTTCTATGAAAAAATCTACACTGGATTTCATATTAAATTATTTTGAGTTTTCTGTTTCTTTTCAGACTACCTTGTTTAATAACAAAGTATGCTATCAATAACAATGTACATAGCATTCTTAATGCTGTACCAGCATTCCTCCTGGTTTGGTTTTTTGGTTTTTGGGGGTTTTTTTTGAGATCCCATTTAGAGGTTTTATTCCTGAAGTCAAAGCAAGGAGAATCTGAGATATGGTGAGAATGTAAAATTAAGGGAGATTAGGGTTGTGCTAAAAACCTGAATCACTTCTTTTTGCAATGTGCTGTTCTTGCAAAGGAACAAAGTTGGAGTCTGAAGCAATATTTCCACTACCATTCCTTATTTAGTCATTCTAATTTCTTACTGTAACAGATACCTTATTTTTTTGAACATGCAGTTATTATTTGAGCATTAATTTATTAATGTATTTTTATTTGCCTTTTTTTTTTTTCTTGTTGCTTTCCTGCTTCCTACAAAGTACTTAGAGAAAATGGAAGTACATTCTAGTTTCACAGACTGTTTATTTGATTACAGGAAGGGATTAAAAGTAGGGGTTACCTTGCTGTTATGTTTTACTTGTTTGTACCAAGTCCAAAACAGTTTTTGCAGCCTTCTGTTTCCTATTATTGCCTTCCTTCTGACATGTCCTCCTGTTGCTTCACTTTGGTGTTTGGAGTTCAAGCCATGCAATTTTCTTAAGATGAAATGTCATTTAAAGACATATTCCCTCTAATGTTACATTGGTGTTGATAAATTGATCCCTTTTCCCCCAAAATGAAGTCTTATTAAATAATTGATCCATTCAATGTCTACATCAGTATTTTTGATCACTTTCCCAGAACAGTCATCAGAAAGCCTCAAATTTTATAAACTTTTTTTTTCAACAAATCAAAAGTAGCCGTGAAATATTAAATTATTTTAGTCATACAGGGTTTTCACTAAAATAAAGAAAGTTGGTGTCAACTAGAAGTTAGCACTGCTTTTCTTGCCAGGTCGAGCATTCAGATGCCATCATGGTTTTTAAGGATTTTGGAGGATTTTTGTTTTGTTGGCTTTATTTTTCTCTTTCCTTTTATTATTGGTGTGGATATGCTTACTATCTCAAATATTGGGAGTATTTTCTTTAGTTGTCTGATTAAATCTACCAACACAGGAAATGCAGTAATGTAGACCTGGCATTTCTATTAAATTTCATAGAATCATAAAGTATTTTAGATTAGCAGGGACCTCTGAAGGTTGTCTAGTTCAACACTGTGTTCCAAGGGACTTGTCCAATCTACCCTTCTGGTAATAAATGAATAAATGAAAAGGAAAATTCCCTTTCCTCAATTCCAAATGGTATTTACTGCCTGTTGTTCCTGTCTCATAGCAGAGCACCTCCAAGAAGGCTCTGGCTTTGTCCTCCCTATACCCTCAATTAGGCACCATTGAGGTTTCCCCTTCCCTTTCTCTGCTCAAGGCTGAAAAAAGACATCTCTTAAGGCTTCTCTTGGTATGCTGTATGCTTGGTGGTATGTGGCCCCTCTACTAATGTGATGACTCTTCTAGACTTTTCTCTAAGACATTTCTTGAAAATTCATGAAAGCAATTTTGGGAAGTATTTTTTCTTTAGTTTGGGATATGTATATCCTTACTAGTTTTCTATGAAAATAATAAAATACTAAACAGTTATTTCAAATACTTATTTTTATGGAACTCTTGAGACAGTGACTATTAATTTACATTCTTTAGGTTTATATAAAATCAGATCATGAAGTAATATTAGAAATATTTTTTGTCTCTGCTACACTTAGTAATGATGACACACATTTTCAGTGAAGAAGAATGGTGGTGGTGTGAGTGGTGGGGTACTCTGACAGCAGCTTTAATGATTGTCAGTATAAAATGGAGAGATTTATTCAGTCTTTCCAAAACCATTTACTATTTTTAAGCTAGAAACATAGAATCATCAAGGTTAAGAGAGACCTACAGGATCATCCAGTCCAACTGTCCACCCAGCACTTCCACTGTAACCTGTAAACAGCATCACCCACCAGATCCAGATGCCTCTTGAGCACCTCTAGGAATAGTGACTCCACGACCTCTCTGGGCAACCTGTTCTAATGCCTGACCACTGAAACACTGAACATTTTTTTCAAATATTTAATCTGAATCTGCCCTGTCTCAGCTTAATGCCAGCAGTGTAGAAGAGAGATCAGACCCCACCTCACTACAGCCTCCTTTCAGGTGATTCTAGGGAGTGATGAGGTCCCCCCGAGCCTTCTCTTCTCCATCTAAACAATCCCAGATCCCTTAACCCTCCTCATGCAATATTTTTTCTAGACCCTTCATAAGCCCTGTTGCCCTTACAACACCTTTTGTTAAATTAGCTTCCGGAAATATGTCTGGGGTTATTTTTGGGTTAAGTGTTTGCATTGTAACTAATTCAGTCATCTGCTGAAATCAAAGTTTTACAAAAATATTAGGCAAAGAATAAGCATGAGAATTAAAAACTAAACTTAATTTGGAGTAAAATCTCCACTAAATTATTGTGATGTATGAAAAAAATATCTTCTCAATCTGATTTGCAATTTTAAATCATATAGTAGTAAAATGAAAGGGGGGGAAAAAAAAAGGAAAGATTACCCAGTAGAGTAATTTATTCACATTGTGGTGTACATTGAGGGCCTACCTACAGAGAATTTTCAGGGAGAAGTCCTAAACTCGCAAAAAAAAAACATAGTGTGACCTTAGATAATTCTCAGATTATTTTTCTTCCTGTTCTTAAAATGTAGTAATTTGTATCTGAAGTCATAAGCGTAAATTTAATTGTATTAAAGAACATGCATATGTTTTTCAGGTAGGTTATTTTTACAAAACATATAGTTATATTACATCACCAGGTGATACATGATTGTCATAGACAACTGGACATCTGGTGTTAATGCTGTTGTCTCACTTTACAAAATACTTGTCAGTTATTTTACAGGTAAATGACAAGGGAAGAAAAAAAAGTCCAATCTTCATAAAAATGTATAGGAATACATGCTATATTGTAATTCGTAGGGGTTTTCTGTAATTTAAAGACAGTGACTGAAACAGACTGAAAAAATGATGACTTTTGTAAATGGTATTTCCCAAAAATAAATGCAAACTGCTTAAATGCTATTTGTCCTCTGTTAAGCATAGTCATACAGGCTAGTGGAAAAAATCCTCAAATAAGTATAAGAAATTGTTCAGGAGACTATGGGGGAAAAGACTGTATTCCCTAACTATAGGAGTGAGCTAATTTAATTTTTTTTTTTTTTTAATGTACATATAGGGCACACATGACACAGAAAGATAAATAGTTCTAGATCTAGCTGGAACTAAGCTAGAACTAGCTAAGTGTTTTATATTAATATTTAAAGTTCAGTGGTGAAGCAAAATGCATATTCCTAAATCTATTTTATGTTTTTCTTCACAGTTCCAGTTATTTACTAACACATACATAACATAAATGATCAGTAAAACAGAGTCCTTAATTTGTCTGACGGTTTCTTGGATGTTCTTTTTATTGAGTCATTTGCCCAAATCACTGTTATATCAGGTCGACGCTTTAGACATTGTGTCTGGTTGAATAATAGGAGCTTTAGCTGATCAAGGTGATTGCAATTCAGGAACTGTACTGAACTGACACTTCAGAACACTAGAGCATGTTTCTGGGCTTGAAAAAATGAGACAAGTTGCTTGGTAAAATAAGTCTTTGAAGACTATACAATACATAATTCACATAATGACAAAGCATTTAGAAATCTGCTGGTCGAATCATCATAGTCGTAGATTTGAGAGAGTATCCTGAGCCCTTCCAGTAGTACCACTTGATCCCGTTAAACTTGTTGTTGTTCTGTCGTAATGGATAATACATTCCATTGAGGTTAGAAGGACCACATGCATCAAACCACCATCCTGCAAGACAGAAGACAAACATCAGAA